AGGCTAATTAGTATCCAAGACCTTAGTGGCTTCATCCTCGGGCATCAATTTAGAGCAGTCAACAATCAACCATACTCCCCAGATACTGGATCAATCCAACAGCATCGCTCCTTCCCCATCCACCAACAATTCAATTGGCCACAATCCAACTAGTTCTCCTCCCCCAGACCCTTCCACCACCCTGGACTGTGATCATAATTCACGCCCAAGGCGCATGCAGAGACTCCCACTGCGATATAGGGATGAACTTCCAGAAGCACCACTACCTTTTGCTCAGGATCAGCCAACCTCGCGTCCTACCCGCATAATTCTTCATGTTTTCGACTCTATCTGCACATGTTTCAATAAGTTTGGCATTGCCCGCCAATATCGTCATCGCCCTTCATATGATCCAGATGCATTTGTATCGGCAGATGAACTCTCCAACATACGTCCTGCTGAATCCCATACTAGTGACCCCAGCATACGGAATGGTGAGGTGCCCTCAGGTGACCCTTCACGTCCACCGGCACCACCTTGGCCTTGGAAAAACATGTCAGTCTGGAGGCTGATGTCGTGGCTGGTGACAGGAAGCGATCGGAAGTCGATGACAGAGGCCAAACGTCTGGTCGATGACGTGATAAAAGCAGAGGATTTCAATGTCAATGATTTCGAGCACTTCAACCCCAACACTCAGATGAAGAATTTTGATACATCTATAGATCACGCCAACACCTTGGACATTCTGCAACGAGATGGTTGGAAGCAGACAGACGTGGAGATTATGGTGCCGTCAAAGGAGAAAAATCCTAGAGGGAATGGGTGTGTATTCTCAGTTTCTGGGCTCTTCTACCAGCCACTCACTGCAGTTATACAAGCTGCATTCTCAGAGCAGTCTTCAAAATGGTTCCATCTGACGCCTTTCAGGCGTATTTGGAAATCACCAGTCACAGGGCAAGAGCAACGACTTTACGATGAGCTTTACACCTCGGACGCATGGCTTCAGGCTCACGACGAGTTACAGAAACAAAGAAGGGATGATGGTTGCAAACTGGAGAGAGTTATTGCTGGCCTTATGTTCTGGTCCGATGCCACCCACCTAACTCAGTTTGGGCGTGCATCAGCATGGCCGATATATCTCTTTTTTGGGAATTTATCAAAATATGTTCATTCGGATCCTAACTCTGGCGCTTGCCACCCAATAGCTTTTATTCCCACTGTAAGCTTTCTAGATGTCTGGAACCAGTGACGTGTTATTGATTTATATCTCATGTAGCTACCAGAGTCAATTACAAGCTTCATATCCACCTTTTTGCTGAGGAAGAACTACGACGATATACTTACACATTGCAAGCGGGAGCTGTTCCATGCAGTGTGGTGTATCCTCCTGGATGATGAGTTTGTCCATGCTTATGAGAACGGCATCGTGGTTAAGTGCTATGATGGGGTATATCGGCGTGTCTTCCCTAGGATATTCACGTATTCAGCGGACTATCCAGAGAAGTACATCTACTCTCATCCTCGTCTCTTTTTTGACACTGACTGGGTGTTGATACTTGTAGAGTCCTCCTAGCAACCATACGTGATAAAGGGAATCGGCCATGCCCTTGCTGTCTGACTCCAAAGTCAATGTTCAACCGTGTTGGATTTTTGCGTGACGTCTCACAAAGAATGAACCAGCTACGCACATATGTTACCAATAAAGTGGCCAAAGCCCGTGATGCGATATATATGCATGGTGCTCCCATCAAGGGAGCCTTAGTTGAGAGTATTCTGAAAGATCTTTCATTGGTGCCTACTGTTGTAAGTTTGATGCTTGCTCTCGCAATGTGGAACTGACATTTCTCTAGAATAGCTTTGTAGATCGCCTCTCACCATTTGGTTTTAATCTTTTCCCCACCCTTGTGGTTGATTTGCTGCATGAATTTGAACTCGGAATATTGAAAGCGGTAATGACACATTTGATGCGGCTACTCTTTGCAGTTGACCCGCGGAAGATTGTCATCCTCAATGAAAGGTACGGTGTTCTTTTGGTTCTGATCGATTCTCATCTTTGATGCCTTCGCACACCAGATTTCGGTCAATACCTTCCTTTGGGAAAGGTTCCATTCAATGGTTCCCCAAGAATGTTTCGTCAATGAAACAGCGAGCAGCTCGACATTTTGAAGATATGCTGCAGGTAAGTCTCTATCATCTCACACACAACTCAGATGTATTCTGACCGATTTATTCATTCCAGTGTGCAATACCAGCTTTTGAGGGGCTTTTTCCAGAAGAGCATGACAACGTCATCAGGGTTCTCCTGTTTCGCATGGCAGAATGGCATGCCCTTGCGAAGATGCGCCTTCATTCTGACGACACCCTGAAATTGCTTGGCCAGTCGCTTCGAAGACTGGGAACTCAGCTTCGAAGGTTCAGCAAATTTACTTGCTCAGCCTTTCGCACTATGGAACTTCCGAGTGAGGTGTCTGCACGTCACAGGAGACAACATGATGGGTTTGAACCTCAGTCCAGACCAAACACGGCTGACCGAACAGGACCTCGACCGAAGTCATTCAACCTATTTACGTATAAGTTACATGCTCTCGGTGACTGTGTGCAATCAATACGAGCGTTTGGCACCACCGATTCATATAGTACCCAACTGGTCAGCACATTTTTCAACTGTATATATCCGTGAATTATAACTCATTTTGGACGCAGGGAGAAGTCGCACATCGCCTTATCAAGAAGTTTTACCGAATGACCAACAAACAGGATGTTCCGAAGCAACTGGCAAAACATGAAAGGCGGCACACACATATCAGGCGGCAGCGGCAGGACCTTGAAATAGACTCGGAGGAACCTGTCGAGACATTTCCAGAACTTCACCACCGCCTATCGGATTCATGCGTCAACGTCATCAACCTTGCAACATTCCTTCATGACCATTCATCTGATCCGGCAGTCAAAGTCAGAGTTTGTCCCTTGCGCACCTCATTTGACAGTTACTGATACATATATATACTAGGACTTCGTTCTCAAACTCAAAAACCATATTCTATCTCGCTTGCTGGGTCTCAAATATGATGGCGATGAGCATCAGTTTTCTGATTCCGAGAGGAATGAGCTACATTTCATCAATAACCTGTCTCGAGTCCAGCAACCACGTCGGTTTCAAGTCAACTATACTACCTACGATGTCCGGCGTGACCAAGACTCCATGCGACCGGGACATAATTGCACTGTCATGACACTATCGAGGGAAGAGGGCGAGAATGCACACCCTTTCTGGTACGCGCAGGTATTATGTGCCTTTCGCATACAGGTGTTGCATACTGGATCGCAAGCTCAAAATCGTTCATCTCAAAGTGTAAAAGTTCTTTGGGTTCGATGGCTCGGGGTGGATCCTACTTATCACTGGGGCCTTAAAGAAGCTCGCCTACCTAAAGTTGGATTTGTCCCTGAGACTGATGACAATGCTTTTGGCTTCCTCGACCCGTCACTCGTTATCCGTGGTTGCCATCTCATTCCAGCGTTTTCAGAGGGGCGTTCAAATACTCTCCTCAGACATGGTCCTTCTCTCGCAAGGCTTCAGCATGAAACTGACGACTGGGAATTCTTTTATGTAAATATGTAAGGAGAAATGGCCCTCATCACACTACAGGTAACAGCCTACACTCACCTTGCTTTGCAGTTTTGCAGATCGAGATATGTTTGCGCGATTTGCTGGGATTGGTGTTGGACACGAGGTCCAGTACACCTCCTCAGCAATCAAGCAACATTCCAACAAATATTGGGATGACGCTTTCAGTTGCAGAGACGACTCATCCGACGAGGAAGATGCCATCAAAGATGGAGATGCCGAGGGAGACGTCATTGAGGAAATTAACATGGAGGAAGGCGATGTTGAGGAAGATGATGTTGAAGAAGATGACGACGAAAGTGATGTCAGCGAGGACAGTAACAGTAGTACCGAGGACATTGATGAGCCTGAGGAGTCAGACTCGGATGGGGAGGATGACAGTGATGATGACGACAACCTATACTATAGATTTTAATGCATGGGGAACGTTACATTACACAGGGCCACCATTTGCTCGGACTTTAAGTTGAAGGTACTAGCGGGCGCCGGGAATGAACATACTTAATTTGGACTTTGTGTTACAACTTACAAGGGTATTTCTTGGAATATAATACTTCGACGAGAAGGGTAGCTTTTCTCATTGGTGGAATTAGCGATCCACCCTTGTCAGACTATCCAATACTATCTCAACAGCAAGAACAATGATTCACGTTTGTAGTTTGAGTTTACTTGCAGATAGACTTTGTAGCGCTTGATAATAATAACAAAATTTGGTGCCTGTGTTACAAGGGTATTTCTTAGAGTATAATACTTCACCGAGAAGGAGAGATTTTCTCGTTAGTGTAATTAATGATCCACCCTTGTCAGACTATCCAATAAAATCTCAACAGCAGGCATGGTGATTCAGCTTTGTAGCTTAAGTAAGGCCATATCACGATATGAGGTTTTCAGTGGTGCTTTTGCCACACGCTTGCATGGATTTGAGTGCATACCAAGTCACTGATCGTTCATCGTGACCGTATCATAAACAATATGAACAACACCTCGTACCAGATTTTGCAGCAACTTCCATCCATCATGCGTTCTCCGTTCTTGCGATTGAACACAGAGCCCTTGCAACTTACACTCACTAGCACTGATGTATTTGATCATCATGACATTCATGGAAATTGAACAAGGCGCGTAATTGTACTTCTGATGTTGCAGAAAGGGCCTCGTGCACACTTGCCTTACGGCCTGCCACCTCATCTGCTTGGCTATCGAACAATGATAAACTTCTGAAAGTTGTGCACAATAGCATTAGCGAGCGGGCTGCTGCACGAAATCGTTCACCGATATTCATCTTAATATACTGTGGATCTTCTTCAGTATACTAGTAATCATTTCAGAGGTGCGATATCCTCCTGTATTGTGCGCAGCACAGCGACACGCAGCTCACGTACGGCTCGCTCGCAGAATGACTCGTGGCCTCTTCGTGTTCACGGGCAGTGACTATTCGAAGTGCTATAATACCTTGCCGATGCAAGGAGCTGAAATCTCGTCCACTCCTGTGCCGAATGTTAGGGTGTTGCCCATCCAATCCCTCTTCACACCATTTTTCCAGTTTATTTGAGGTATGATACAAGGTACCATCAGAACTCAGCAGCATGGTTCTTTACGTTTGACTGCAGGCATCATGTAAATGTTCATGTAACAAAAAACCAGGGAAAAACCTGGTTGTCTGCATTGGTGCGCGGTTTAAACTGTTTCAGACAACAATTGTTGAACTCTGTAGATGGAACATCGAACACCAGAGACGATGTACGTTGCGCATGCCTTTGCGATGATTGGTGATGTCAGGATATCCGTACCCAGACCAGTCATGTCTTCGAACTATACGACAATATCGTCAAGGATGATCAAAAACAGATAGCATACTACGCCAGTGGTGTGGGAACGTATGTCAGGCCTGAAGGTTTTGTGCTTGTGGGGCGGATTTTGAAGAAATTGGACCTGGCCATTGCTCAGTGGGTGCACTATATTCGACGCTTCACGGCTCGCGGTAACAGTGTTGAAGTAGTATCAGGCGAAACATATTGACAGCGTATGAATGGCTTTCAGATAGGTACCATGATGGTGATAAGATCTTTCTGTTTGGTATGTCTCCTGGATGTTGTATCAGGTACGCAGCTACACTAAAGATGAGGTCAGGATTTTCAAGGGGTGCATATCAAGTCCGTGCTTTGGCGGGAATGATCCACGAGGTACCTATCAATTTTAAGCAATCATCCTTGTTGCTCATCATTATCTTGATAGGTGGGGCTTATCACACCTGGAAACGAAGGGCAAATACCAAGGTAAGTGTATTCGACAATTGATCTTGAATGATCGGCTGATTTTCCCAGTGCCTTTCAGTATTACTGCTCTATCAATAGCGGGAAGTTCAAGGATATTAATAATGCGAAGGAGTTCAAAACGCGATTCTCCAGAAACGTAGCCATACATTTCATCGGTGTATGGTGAGGGTTGTACCTCAACGTGATCGTACCAGCATTCCTGACGAACATTCCAGGGACACCGTTTCATCTGTTGGTGTCAGGAAGACGCAGAATTTTCCATCCACTGATACATGCGATCACGTTTGCTACTTCCGCCAGGCACTTGCGCTAGATGAGCGCCGAGTGAGATTTCTACCTGAGTATGTCTACGGGGGTATGCGTTCAGACTGGCATAAATACCAAGTGCCGGCGCCACCTCCCACAGACGAAGGTCGTATCAAGGAGGTTTGGTTTGCGGGTAGCCATTCGGATGTGTACGTGTCCCCTGCATCGGATGGCACTCATTTAATAATTTGTTTTTAGCGGTGGTGCACGTTGGAAGAAGAATAGTTACCCCAATGACTTCCGGAACATCCCTCTACTGTGGATGCTTGAAGAAGCTCGCGAAGCGGGGCTTCTGCTCAATCCCCGCGAGGTAGCTTGCAAATATGAAAATGAATCGTTTTTGAAACCTGAAGTTACCGATCCTTCAAATCTTGCGTGGTGGCTGCTTGAGATATTGCCTATCACATACTTCAGTCAATTTCCCATGTAGAACCAGTGCCCCGGATGTGCCAAAACCCTGTAGAATCATGGCCAGCCAGTCCCCGGCCGGTCTATGTAGAATACATGCTGGCCGGCCTTGTATAGTAGTAGTCCACATGTATAATACACTACCATACTATTGTAAAAGCATGACCAGCCAGTAGATGTAAGACAACTGCCGGCTGTAGGTATACCAATATCAAGGCTTGCTGGTGTATTAGGATGCTGACTGTTTCACATCTATATTTGTAACTGGCCAGCCTTTCTTCTACATAGGCAGACGTGGGGTGGCCCAATATGTGGGATTAAGATTATACTGGCCAACCATATCTCTACCTCAGTAGAAACCAGGCTGGCCAGTATGTAGGTCTTAATCTAGCAAACCGGCCGCCCTGCATCTACCTATGTATGGGTAAGGCTAGCCAGTTTGTATGTTTTGAACTAGCATACCGGCCGTCCTGCATTTACTTATGTAGGAGCCAGGCTGGCCTGTTTGCAGGTATTAAACTAGCATACCGGCCGTCCTGCATTTACCTATGTAGGAGCCAGGCTGGCCTGTTTGCAGGTATTAAACTAGCATACCGGCCGTCCTGCATTTACCTATGTAGGAGCCAGGCTGGCCTGTTTGCAGGTATTAAACTAGCATACCGGCCGTCCTGCATTTACCTATGTAGGAGCCAGGCTGGCCTGTTTGCAGGTATTAAACTAGCATACCGGCCGTCCTGCATTTACTTATGTAGGAGCCAGGCTGGCCTGTTTGCAGGTATTAAACTAGCATACCGGCCGTCCTGCATTTACCTATGTAGGAGTCAGGCTGGCCAATATATATGTACATAGAGCGAGGAAAGCCAGTTTATACTCAAGTCATAACTTATCACCAGGCAGTGCGAGAGTCTAGACAAGCATATGTAATTACTGTACAAGATTGACTAGCAATGAAGACAATGGAGGATACAAGATCATATCTTCTGGGATCTCTTAGAGGGTTGCCTCACCCTACCTGATCTACGAACCACAGGCTCAGTCCTAGGCTTCTTGGACTTACTTGATGAAGCATGGTTAATTTTTCTCTTCCTTCCTTTCTGCACCACCTCTTCAACCTCCTGCTCCTGCTGTTCTTCTCCCCCAACTACATTCTCCTCTGACTCAACATCCTTCTCCTCAACCTCATGCCTTTCCTTCTCTACCACCATCCTCATCTCCTCATCCTCAACCTCGTCACTGAGTCCCTCTTTGTTCAGCCTCTCAATCTGACCAACAACTGAGAATAAGACTTCCCGGACAGCCTCATCCAGAGCGACCAAGAACTGTAGATCAATAGCAGAATGAGGTAGGTAGAAAGGGGTATTGGGATCAGCCTCGTCTTCCTCATACTCTATCACACGCTTAGACTCCCTATAGAGGAGCCCAATTCCTAGTATTACTGGCATTGCCGATGATGGCCCTGAGATTGGACAGGTCTGTAGCTTGTTTAAGCTGGCCATCAATGTCGCATATGAGGTGTGAATGTCCTCGGAAAGATAATTTTCGCTCCAAGACCAGTCAGCCCAGGTAGGCAAATCTTGGTGTCGCTCTGAAATTGGCTGTTGGACATATAAGCCATAAAATTGAAAACAGCACCAAGTGACACTAACATTCTGTTTGGCTAATATTGCCAGGTCCCTAGTGGCGTCCACAAGCTCCAAGTAGTTTTCATTCTTGCTAAGGGTTTCTAAAAATGTGTATCGGTCATTGATGGCAACATCATCTGGTGTTGTCTCATGAGCGGCCGGCTGTGTTGTACGTTCTGTGAAATGAGAGGCAAATGGAGCCGGCCGGCCTTGATCTTCTTCATCTAAGTCTAGGGTGCTCACTACTTTCGTCTTGGACTTCCCAGTGACCCGAATATCAGCATCCTTGGCCTTAATAAAGACAACTAGCTTCTGATTTGTAGCAGAACGTCGTTCCCAATGCATCCATAGACGATTTACCTCCTCTGTCTTCATATGAGAAGGGTCTTTGACCACAAATCCTGTGGGAACTGAACCAGGTTCCAAATAATTGGACGGGCTGGCAGTTATCACGCCCCAAGGTACAGGTCTAGAGCCACCTGTGCAGACTTCTACAAACCATTGAGTCAATCAAATGTCATGCACATATTGAAGATGTTAGATCTTACTGTATGAAGTATGAAAGATACTTCTAATCAATTCGTGTTGGCCCTTGAGGCCAATACCATCACGAAGAGGAAGTTTTGCATACCCCTCATCATCTACTATGATTTCAGGTAAGACAGGTCCATCCTCACAGTCTGAAGCCGCATGGTCTGAATCCTCTGAAGGGTCTATCAATTTAATAGTCAGTGAGCATGATATTTAAAATCAAATGAAACACGTACAAAATTCAGTCTTAGACCATTCTCCAAAGGATTCAAATCCATTTGCAGCCCACTCCTTGATACCACTCGAGCTCACAGAAAATTTTTTCTTGGCATTCTGAGGCGTAGTTTCGTGTCTATAGTAGTTTAGTTAGTCTTGAGATTTCCATGTTGATTTGATGACTTACAGACTGACGGACAATGTCTGACTAGCTTTTTTCTTATGACTAACAAGCATTACTATGCGACAACCCATGGTGCGCCGAATTTGCTCTGCAAAATCTTCCAGAGTTTTCTTGAGGTTATTCTTACGATATCTCAAGCCAAAGTGTTAGACTGGAATAACTGTAGATTTGAAGTAAAACTTACATTGCCTGAGTTTCTTCTGGCGCCCCCTCCTCATTCCATTTCTTCATGGCAAACTTGACCTCCTGCTGTTGTGAAGGTGTCATGTTGTTGAACCACTCCCTGGCATTCCCAGTGCGGTACTTGATTGAATACTCCAAGCCTTTACTCTGTTGTTGGGCCTTGTCATATGAGTCGATCTCCTGCTTAAATAATTTCTGTGCTACGTCCCACTCAGACAGGGGTTTCTTATAGAAAGATGGTTCTCTTGGGCGACTCGCTGCCTCACGTTCGTCTGCCTCTTCCTTGTCTTTGAGACTTTTGGCATAGTATTCTTTTATTGCCTGTAGGTAACATTTATGTATATCATCAGACAACTAAATACATGTACAGTATAAGAATTTTGTGACCTTTTTCAAGGAAGTAGGCAAGGCAATGGGTTCCTCTTGCTCGTCTTGAGCAGCTAGTATGGCCCTCCGAATCTTCCTCACCACAGGCTTTCCAACAGATGAGGAACCTGCAGCAAAAATGGCCTTAGAGTGAAGGTCGAGAATTGGCTTAAAGGCAATAGACCAGTCGGTAGACATCGTAATTGATTCAAGATAAAAATTGCAGGTAGGCTGGTACAGGCGGTAGGAGGGTGGCTAGCCGAAATTAATTTGAACACCCATGTTTATCAACAATAACGTGTGACTTTTCATAAGTCACACGTTATTGTTGATAAACATGGGTGTTCAAATTAATTTCGGCTAGCCACCCTCCTACCGCCTGTACCAGCCTACCTGCAATTTTTATCTTGAATCAATTATCAAATTGGATATATTGAGACGGTCAAATTCACATCAAGTAACAAGATTAAAGGCACATTATACTTCCATTGAGTGGAGTTAGACAGTGTAGATAATAGACAAATTCACATCAGGTAAAAAGATCCAAAACACGTTATACTTCCATTGAGCGGTGAGGGTATCTAATCAAGTAAGATGAAGAAAAATGAAACATGAAGGGATGTACGAAAAAGCTAAGACAAAATAATTGTATCCTAATCCTCATCCTCATCAGGGACACTAGGCATGGGCCTCAAGACAACTGAAATCCAGCAGGAGCCAGGTCTTTTGCCTGGCAAAAGGATCCTGGAATGAGGTGGTTGTGAGAATACATACTTTTTCCTACATTGGCCATTCTTGCATTCAAAGATGTAATCTTTGTGCATGTTGACAGAACACCAGGCGTTACTCCACCCACACTGTGGGCACTGGACCGGCAGGTACTGACCCCAGGGGCGAAGTTGGGAATGCGTCCAGGCGAACTTGGTAACGGCCAACGAACCTGAGTTGTCAGGCATCAGCAAGAACACGTCAGTGTGGCGCCCAAGTTTGTAGGACTGGCCCAACATGTCAGGGAAGACGATGTGAATGGGCAAACGCTCGATGATGACCAGCTCCGCGAATGCGAGCAAAAGGTGGGTGGCGAAACTCGGCTGAAAACGAACAGCATTAAAGCCAATAGTGGCTGTGATGCGATGACTGTTAGGGTTAGTTAGTATTTGCAAAGATAAGATCAAATGGACTTACTCTATGACCGCCTGTTGCAAGCCTGAAAAGGAAGTGACGTTGTTGATGAGCGCGCCACACGAAAACAGCCATAAGTATGATTCCGCGGCACCATGAATCAGGGGATGCCAAGGTGAAAGCAGAACATCGAGAACCTTTGGTGTCAAATGAGCAAATACAATGTTAGTCAAAAAAATGCCACTTACAGAGTGAACGCGTGCCGAAACGTATGACTTCTTGTTGCCCTCGTACCCAATAAATGGATCTCCATGCTCGTTGTCGGTGTGGTTAGTGATGGCGACGACGACACGAGCCCAGTTGGAGCTCATCAGCGACTGGATGATGGCAGTCGCCTGCAACCGGTACTCGTCGATCTTTGAGGCATTGCCGATGTCGAACACGATGGACCGAAATTCAAACCCTCCGCTGGGGAAGTATGGCTGAAGGAATTCGGAGGCCAGTTCGAAACAGCCGCCGGTGACGTCATGGTCGACGAGGACGAGATGGAGCATGAGCGTGGGTGCCGAAGACAGTTGGGAATGGAGTGAAACCTCCAACGTAGCACGAATTTGGAGGAATGAAGGAAGGAGCGGTTGCCCCTTCCTGTAAAAACCCTATAAAATGAAGTGAATGTTAGTTAGCATGAAATAAACGAAAAAACTTACAAAATAGGGCGACTGAGATGCGCGCCCGTGTCGTTCCATGCCAACATGGCAAGATATGCAGACGAACGTGACGTCATCGGCCTGCACCGCG